CCCTGCACAGGAACAGCTATGTCAGCAGGCAAAGTATGGCAGTTACATTAGGGACCCCAGAGCTGACATGGGCACTGATTCACTTCAGGGCTCTGTCTTCTTACTCTTTCAGAACAAAGACAGAGATGCCACTCAAGAACTCGTTTGTAAGATGTTGTGAAATAACCATTCTTCAAAAAAGATGTATCTCATCAAATAAATAAAGCTGGTCGCATGACTAAAATCACCTCCTATAATAGATCACCCTGTAATTCAACAGAGCTGTTCTAAAGACTCACTAAGTTTCTATAAATCAAATCATTTTTTAAAAAGCACTCATAGTTTATTACTTACAGAAATGCTATGGCAAATGACGGAATACACTCATTAATTCATTTCTATATCTTTCAAAAGCATTTATAAAGCACTTAGAAACATCCATTTGATCTCCCCACAACTATCTGAGATAGATGGCTTTATTAAGATGGTTTCATTAATTTCTATTTTTGATTAAGGAAAATGGGCTCAAGGGTGGTAATAAATTGATTTGCTAAAGTCACAGAATTAATAAGCAGCAGAGTCATAACTTAAAGTATTTGCTTTCTAAATTCTAAGCTGTTTCTGTTGTACTTAGTTACCCTGCATGCAGATAATTACTTGCTGAAGTTCTCTCACCATAATTATTCTATATTAAGTCATCATCATCTATTTCTAAACCCAATGCACTGTGCCACTTGCATTCAATGAGGCAGTGTGCAAGAATGTAGAGTCTGGTGTGGACTCTGGGTGTCATCTGTTAAGTTTTGTAAATTAAGCCATTAGCACTATTTTCAGGACCTCGTCTACACCTCTTCATGAGGAATACCACCTTCTTTCAGAAGATTCATGAAGAATCAAATTAGAAAAATTGTATGAAGCACCTAGACCAACATTAACATGTAACAAACCAATCAAACCAATGCAAAACTTGTTAAAAGGAAAAATGCTTCCTCTTCAATAAAAAGACAAAATTTAACTTGTCTTCTGGTGCTAGCAATTTAGCACTCAATTCTAGAGGTCCCAGGGGGCCAACCTAGAACCAAGATTAAACTCTCATAAACAGATAAAAGTTAGTATACAAAATAGAGACACTAATTTACTTCTAAAAAGTTAACTGAGGCAAATCCCTGGTTTCTATAAAGTAATGATGTGATGTACCTTTACAATCAGCTTTGCTTCTGGCCATTAAACCAACTTAAGTAGAAATACATTGAAGAGAAAAGCACATACTAAGAATATGTCTTGCATGTTGCTAGTGCTTTAAGTTTTCAAAGAACATTCTTCATTGATTCACACTGCTCACGAGGAGAAAACAGATTAACTTTCCAACACAAGACAAGACCACCAGTAGAAAACCACAAAATTATTTTTAACTCCTTGTCTTGTTTTTTATAAACCCCATCAATAGATGGTGGTATGTAGATGTTACAGTACAGAGTGTACAGGATAATGTGGGAAGACAGAGACAGAGGCCACTATGTCTGGGAGAGTCTGAAAAGGCTTTGGAGAGGAGGTGGCATTTATGCAACCTTTACACGGTACTGAAGTACATCTAGAATATTCTTCATTGTCCTTGAGTGTGAAGAGATTTTTCTCTGAATTCTGAATATGTCATTCAGTACTCAGCTCTTTACTGTTTTTATTGACTTGCAAACTTAAACGAATCCTTTCCTTTTAATCTAAGATTCTGACAGTTAAAGAGGCAGGGAGTTGCAACCGCTGTGGTTTGGCCAGTACCTCTTAGTCTCTAGTTCTACAATTTCATGATTTTCAAAATTATGTTTCATTCTTATACTCCATGACCTACCATTTTTAATAACAAGTTAACTGATAGCCTGTTAACACTGACAAATTTTTTTTCAAAATTTATCATAGAAATTAGGAATGAGAAAGAAGATTTAAGAATGCCTAAAGCTCACTAAAGAACCTGTTTCAGTACTTATTATACTATTTTACATATAGTATAAAAACTGTGATAATTTCAATTTTCCCCTTCTGATTTTTTTGCAGTTAGTGTTATACATGTTAAAAACTGTACTGTGTTATTTTTAAGTAATTATCTTTAAAAAATTTAAGTTAGAAATCTTAACACATTTACCCAACTATTAATCATTTCCAGTGCTTTTTATTTCCATCTGGTATTATTTTCCTGCTTTCTCAAAGGCTTCTTTTAATATTCCTTGTAGTGTGGGTATAGTAAAGGTAAAAACTTCAACTTTTGCATTCTTAAAAGTCTTCATTTCACTTTCTCTGTTAAAATTCATTATTTTCATTAGCTATATATTTATAAGTTGACAGTGTTTTCTTTTAATTCTTTAAAGATGTTGCACCACTGTCTTCTGGCTTACTGCTTTTGATGAGAACTCTGCTGTCATTCTTTAATATACAGTATTTTCTTTTCTCCGTCTACCTTAAAATATTTCTCTTATTACTGGTCTTCAACTAATTGGTTCTGTGTGTAGCTGTGACTTTCCTCATCTTTTTGTATATATGCCTAATATTTAAGATTCTTAGATTTTTATTTATTCTTTTTATCAAATTTGGCAAATTTTCAGCCATTATTCCTTCAAGAATATGTTCTATTTCTGCCTTCTTTTAGAGACTCCAATTATACAAATTTTTGGCTGTCCGAAGCTGTCCTAAGGCTCACTGATTGACTGGGGTTTTAACCCAATGTTTTGTTTTCTAGCATTCCTACTGTTATGTCTTCAAGTTTGTTAATTTTTCTTTCCACAGTGTTTCAACTACTATTAATCCTATCCAGTTCAATTTTCATCTCAGATGTTTAGGTGTCTCTAAATCAATATGGGTCTTTTTATACCTTCTATGGCCCACAGAGTCTAAAATATTTCTATCTGGCTCTTACAAACAAATTTCATGATCTTTTATAGGTTTCTTTTAATATATTTTTAGGCAAGATCAGAGGAGCCTTTAGTTTTGGGCTGATTTTGCCGCACTACTGAGGGCCCTTCTAAACACTCTAATGGCACTCATACTTCCCAGCCCTCTCTGAGCTGCATTTTCCTTTTCAGTAGCTCTTCCCCAGTCTTCAGTAGTTCTTTTACATGGGGAAATAATTTGTTTACCTTCTTTCCATGCTCACTATTTTGTGCTACTCTCTGAAAACCTTTGTGCAATGTCTGAAAACCTTTGTTTCATGTATTTTTTGTGTGTGTGTCTTCTGTTTAAGGCAGAAGAATAAATCCAATTCCTCTGAACTAGATCATAGTTGAAAGTGAAGTTCCTTCAGTATGAAGCTCCATTTCCTTACATATGCAATAGTGTATGTAAGTACTGACAAATCTACATTATCTCATTTTATCTCTTCACATTACTGTGATATAAAAGATACCTCAAAGCTCAAAAAAAAATATGCCCCCCAAAAGTTTTCTGTAGTTCATTATAGAGCAGCCTCTGTCTTCTGGTCATTTTATTGTCCACAAAAATATGTGGTTTTTCAAAATGTACTGTGTAGAATGAAATAAAATTTTCTTCTCTATAAAGTACATTGTGAAGCAACTTAGTAGTACTTTAAGCTTATAATAATGAACAATATAGGATTAAGGGAGTAATATTTATTGAATGTTGCCAATGACCAAGTTTATATACCTCTTTTAATGGTGAACTTAACACAGTATTCATATAAAATTTTCTGATTCTCTGTGTATCTGCTCTAATACTGTTTTTGTATTAATTTTTTGTCACCTAGTATATGGGCAATTCCAAAGGAAATAACAACTTGATGAATTATCTATTTTGGAACTGGGGATCCAAATATTGTTAGTCTTATCCCATATGTTATTAGTATATGCCTATATTATGCTCTTTCCTTGTGTCATTATAGTAACATTATAAGCTGTACTTATTGTTTACCTATTTGTCTGTTGATAGTTAAGAGGTTCCATGGCAAGATATTTCCCTAGTTGCAAACCTCTGGTCAAAGAAAATCAAACTCCCAGAAAAAAAAAATCATTTGGCCTACCTAGGGTTACATGCCCCGACCAGGACTAGAAAGCAAAGAACAGTCCAGCTTGAGCCACTTATCCATCTCCACAGTGAGGTGGCAAAAAAAAAATCAGTGAAGTCAGTAACAAAGAGTTCTCCCCACACCCCCTATTTTGCTCCCCCCATCTTTATGAACAGAACATGTAAAAATTCCTGTTCTTATGGAACTTATCACGACATGAAGAGGAGACACACAGGTAAAATATCTATCAGACAGTGACTAAAAAATTAATGCAAAGAGGCAATGCAGGGAAAACAGGGCAGAGGGAAACAATGGCAATTTGAAATAAGGTGGCCTGGGAAGGTCTGGGTGAGGAGATGACACTTAGCAACAGTCTTGAGGTAAGGAAGCAGTGTGTCATGTGGCTATTGCTGGGAACAGCCACAGCAAAACCTCAATGTAGGAGCAAGAATATTGGTATGACTGATGCAGTAAGGGGGAGCATTAAAAAATTAGGTCAGAGGTAACAGGGCCCATATCATGGAGGAGCTGGTAAAGAGGCAAAGGAGCCACTGCAGAAAGTAACCTGATCAGACTTAAGAGTTTTAAATAACCTATCTGGCTGCTACTTGAAGAATGGATTATAGCGGAGTAAGTATAGAAGCAGGGAGACCAGTTAGGTTATTTAAATTAAAAAAAAATAATAATGAAGATTTGGACCAGTGTGGTAGAGAAGAGTTGGAAATACATACACCAGCCCCGCAGATAACATTTTGCTCCTTCTATACATAACTCTGAAAGGAAGTGACACCAAAGAAAATAGATGTACTTAGCCAAGATGTGTAATTCAAACTTCCTCAAAGTATCTATGTGGTATCAGACAAGTGAACCATCTCAAAACAATACAGAACCCAAGTAACATACAAGTTTCACTCCAATTTTTTTTGCACCACATTATACAGAAAAGTACAGTCATGTAATTAGTAAATACAATCTGTTGTGCATGAAGGATAAAAAAGTTAAAAGATCAACTTACAAAATCAGTGGTGATGCTGTCAGGTGGGAACAACCTAAAAACAAAAATAACAGTTATTAGTTTCATAAATTAGTTATACATGCATTTTTTAACTATAATCTTACTGAGATGACTGCAGATTCACATTTAGTTTGGAAGGAGATGATGATTACCCTTTACACAGTTCTCACAATATAACATTTCACAAAACTAAAGCATCACAGTCAGCATATTTTAGTACCACAATCCACTAGTCTTTTGAGATTGTACTTTTTGGGTATATTTCGTTCTATGGGACTGTATTGCCTCGAAGCTTACACACCCACCACCAAAATCAAGATACTGAACTGTTCCACCAGCCCCTTGATAAGCACACCGACCTCCTTCCCTTCCCGACATCTCCCTTCTGTCCCTATCTGCCCACATACCCATTTTAATGCTAAAATAACAACATTCCCTTGTGAACGTTTTTTACAAAACTTATTTTACTCCTGGGCAGAAGCGACATACCTAGTTATATGTCAAATCATCATTAAAGAATTCTACTTTTCTGTAGTAAAGAACGAGTTAAGTTTTCTCTCATTGTTTCCATCAGACTCAATTCAAAAAGCAAAAGGTAAAAGATAACCTAAAAGTTTCAACTAAATTCACAGATTCTATAGTTTTAATATGCATTAACAGACTTAACTTTTTTATTCATAGCAAAATTGAAGAAAGATGTTTTTAGTTTCACATTCCACATATTCACTGCTGGTATAAAGGGAAAAAACTGAGTTTCCTTTGTTGACTTCACACCCCAAACCTTTGCAGTAAAAACACATTTTGGTGGGGTTTTTCTGCTGATTCTTTTGGATTTTCTACATAATCATGTCATCTGAACAAAAATTTATTCCTCCCTACCCAACCTGTATACCTTTTATTTCCTTTTCTTGTCTTACTGCATTAGTTAGGATTTCAGTTGAAAAGGAACGATCAATGGGACATCATTACCTTGTTTCCAATTTTAGCAGCAAAGCTTCATCTTTGCCACCATTATATACAATAGTTGTATTCTTTTTGAAGATACCCCTTGTTTACAGAGAGTTTTAATTATGAATGAGTATTAGATTTTGTCAGATGTTTTTCTGCAACTCTTGATATGATCACATAACTTTTTAAGCCTATTGATGTGATGGATTACATTAACTTGTATTTGAATATTGAACTAGCGTAGCAGTCCTGTGAAAAACCCCTTTTAGTAATGGAATATAATTTTTCATATATGTAATACTGTGTTGGAGAGTTTTGAATGACTGTTCCTGAGAGATATTTATCTGTGTATAGTTTGCTTTCAATGGCTGACTGGCTTTGGTCATAGGGCAACACTGGCCCCACAAAATGAGCTAGGAAGTATTTACTCTGCCTCTATTCTCTGCAAGATTATTATAGGAAATTGGAATAGCTTCTTTCTTAATTGTTTGGCCAAATTCATGGATCTGAGCCCAGTGCTTTCTGTTTCGGAAGGTAGTTATTTTCTTTAATAGTTTTTTTTTTTCCAGATCATCTATTCCTTCTTTTGTGTTTTGGCAGATTATGCCTTTGAGGGAGTTGGCTCATTAAACAGGTTACCAAATTTGTGAGCACGTGAGTTGTTAGTAGTATTTCTTTGTTATCCTTCTAATGTTCAAGGGAACTAAAATAATGCCCTTCTTTGATTTCTGATATCAGTAATCTTTTCTTTGTTTGGTAAGAGGTTTATCAATTTATTTATCTTTTCAAAGGACTAGCTTTTGATTTCATCACTCTATTATTATCTTTTATCTCATTGATTCCTATTCTATTATTATTTCTTTCTTTCCTCTTATATAAAATTTAGTTTGCTTTTCTTTTTCAAGTTTCCTGATGTGGAAACATAGATGAGTAAATATTTTATGTTCTTTTCTACAACTTTTGATAAGTTGTATTTTTATTTAAATATGGCTTTTAAAATTTCCTGAGGCTTAACCTATATATTATTTATAAGTGTGTTGTTTAATATACATGTATTTTGAGATTTTACAGCTGTTTTTCTGTTACTGATTTCTAGTTTAATTGCCTGTGGTCTGAGAGCAGCCACTGTATAATTTCTATTCTTTTAAATTTGCTAAGGTACATTTTATGGTCTAGAATGTGGCCTGTTTTGATGACAATTTTTTGTGAGCTTGAGAAGAATATATATTCCACTGCTTTTGGAAAAAGTAGTTTATAAATGTCAGTTATATCTAGTTGATTGATGGGTGGTGGTGTATTCAACTTTGTTCTTATTGATTTTCTGCCTGCTGAATCTGTCCATTTCTTATGAAGGTATGTATACTCCACATTTGTTTAACGATGAAATTTTGAGTACCTATGGCATAATCTGGGTATTTTATATATTTTTTATCTGGTATAATCCTCAAAACAACTCTATTCTGGCAACAAAACAAGCTTATGTTGACAAAAAGACAGCTCTTTTTGAACCACGAGGAAATGCAGGTACTAAAAGATAAAAACTTTCCAAGATTGTACAACTTAAAAATGGTAGCTCCTGACAACCTGGTTCTAGGCACTTAACAACTGAGGCTATACTATTCTTCAAGGAAATGTATGATAACATCAGGCCAATCTGTGTAAACATTTGTTCCTATGAGAAACAATGAAGCCTTGGTAAGTAGTAGTCACTGCTCATAAGTACTAAAGTTCCTCTCTCGCTCTCCGCTAAATACATGCACCTTGGTGTATATAGTAGAAGCACAACAAGCGTATGGGTCTACTTTCTAAAACATCCACAAAATCAATTGAACTTTTCACCCTTGATTTGTTCACATATTCCACAGCTACATCTATGCTGCTTTTTTTCTTAAATTGTTAAATTCTAAGAAGATAGGCACTATATTATCTATATAAGTAAGTATAGAAGGAATGATTAAAACCCATTCATTCCTGAAAGGCCTCACACTTCCAAATTGCATACCAAAAATAACAAGAGCTAGGAGGAAAGTTGGTTTAGACTATTATTCAAAGCCTGTGCAATTTTGCAAACACATAGCCAACCAAATGGACAGCTTAACTATGACTTGGTAAGCCCAGCTAGACAGCTCAGTGTGACTGAAAAGTACCTAAGAGGATATTAAAAACACAGAGAAACAATACAGTAGAAAGGCTAGTTGCAGTAGAAATAGAGAAGGAGGATTCAGAAATAGTTTCAGTCAGCAGAGACTTCACTGCCAACTAGGTCTCAGGTGGGTTCTAGAACCTGCCCAGAAAAGCCAGCAAATTTCTAACCTTCCCTCCTGTATCCCAACTGGCCTCCTCACTTCCAACACTTGAACATACAACCATTGGCAAACAACTACAAGGGAAAATAAAATAAAAGCTATTGGACAGAGTATCTCATCCTTCTAAAGCTAAACCTACAACCCTCCCTTCCTAGAAGCAAAATTCAACCCAGCTCTCCCTTTCTATGAGAACTCACCCCCCCCCCGTACAGCCAAGCTACAGTATTTCCCACCTTTTCAAAAACAAATCTCTCACTACCCTAATATTGTCCTCCAACTTTCACTATATTCCCAGACCAACTTTTGAAAAACATTGATAATTCTGATAATCACCATTTCCTCACCTATTATTCCCTTTCTAACCAACACGCTTGGCTCTTATCTTCACCACTCTATCAAAGGATCATTTATCAAAGTCATCAAAAGCAATTCCTATTATCCTCATTTAAGAAATCAGGACAATGAAGCTCAAGACCTATTACTAGGTTGAGATAGTAAAGACACACCTTCATCCTGAAGATAAGCAGGAGCTAGGGCTGCCCCAAAGCACCCTTCAGGACATCAGACTAAAAACTTCATTTGCAAGGACCCCCCTGCCTTCCTCCTTTTGTCATTCTCCTTGAGAAAGTCTCAAACCTGCTTCTTGGGATATTTTACTTTCCTCATTTTTAATTGAGAAAAATGATGGCTTGACCTATGAACATTTCATGTGTAAACCAGTTGTGTTATTTTAGCTGTCACAATGACCTGAGAATAGATGTTTTCCCCCTTTATACAAATAAAAACATTTAACCAAGAAAAATTAAAATTTTTCTCATTATCAAACAATTTATTAATAGAGATAGCATGGGACACCTCTATACTGGGTAGCATTTTGCACCCCAGGCTAGATCTCCTAGCTTCTTAGTTGTTCTTACTGCCTGGTAACAAGGTTAGGGCATCACCCATTTAGGTAGTCCTAATCCTCCCCAAAAGTTATGGTTTGTGAAAATTTGCTATGAGTAAACCTAATTTATATTTCTTAATGGGACATAAAATTAAGAATTGTAATTGTTAAGACATGATATGCAACTTGGAAATCAGGACATTTTCCATCACTAGGGATCTAAACTGGTAAATATTAAGTGCAGTACAGATGTATTTGCTCACCCACAGTCTATTCTTGTTTTCTAATACAGTATTACATCTAGGCCAGAGGGATTCATAGTAAACACTTCCTCTAGAGAGAGAAGTCCACGAGTCTAAAGATACACACACACACACCAAGTTCCAGAAGCCCCTCTTGGATTATGCACCAAGCTCCTGTAACCATGGTTTCTTTTCCAAAATGCTTGAAGCCTGCTACCAGGGATGGAACAGTCCTCTTTCTCAGACCTGTGTTTCTATGAACAGACCGTATCATAGTGTAAGTAGCCCTAGAACTAAGACCAAGGATGTAATTCTGTATTTATATGTTTTATACAAGTATGTGGGCACAGCTCAAACATTTGCCCTTCGGGGTACGGCAGAGTCCAATATAGGAACAGAAGGAGAAATGGGCCAGCACCTGTGGGTCAGCTCTCCCTATAATTCCATGCATTAGAGATGCAGAAATCTCTAGACACCACACTCAAACCTGGTTTTCTAAGTCATATGAGATACTTTTATCAAGGAATGATAAAGCATGTTTTTAGTTCCTGGCTTACCTTACAACTTTTAACTCTTTCAGCATATAGTACACATTCTTCTATCTACATTTTTGCTTGAACTTTTCCCTCCCCTTATAGTTACAGAGGGCCAT